GATATTGAATTTGAGCATTCAACGTCTCTCTTCCTGTTTGTCCAAACTCCAGCCAAGTGTGTCCCTGGCTCTCTGAAGCTAATCAGCTTGAGATGATATCTGCTGTCAAATGTAACTTTTGTGAACAATAAGCAGCGATATTGCAGGCGAGTGTGTGTGTGTATGTCTAACTGCAGAATCAGATCTAAGCCCAACAGTGCTGTGACTCATTTTAGCACACCACAGGAAATCATTTAATGGTGATAACATTGAGCATTCAATTTTTTTTTTAACAGTTTTACTTAACATTTGTTTTTAATTAGTTAAATTTAAACTTGATGAAACTAAAGCATTGGATTTTTTTTTTTTTTTCGTTCCAAAACCTTTACTTTTTAGTTGCGGTATTAACTTGCAATGTGTCCTCCAAGTAATGTGAGCCCACAAAAATGCTGTGCAGTTTGGCTTTGCAATTAAAACATGACATTTATGTTAATAAATGCTTATTTGGAGAAAGTTGGTTTAAAGCAATTAAAAATGAACACTTGGTGCCAATGAAAGATGGCAGCAGCAGTGGGCACAATGTGGGGGAGGGGGAAAAAGAAAAAAACATTGATATGAATAAAATATAACAGCCATCATCTTTAAAGAAAATAATTCATATGAAAAGCTGCAGTTAAGCAAACAAATGCTTAACCCACTGGTCTAATACTTTAGGCAAGTTTGTGACCCATTTAACCACAACCACACAGAAGATCCCGACTCTCTGCACTGCCTTTTGTACAATTTGATACTAGCTATTACTTTTTCTATATTTTGGATCAGAAGGTTGCGTAAATAACCCTGAAAGGTTTCAGATGGTGGCTACAGTAGACATTTCCATCAATGATCATCATTAGATTATTTTTTTATGGAGTTCTGAGCTTAATAGATTTCTGCTTTTGCTATTAGAATAAACAGGAAATCACCCAAAAATACTTTAAAGAACAGGTGGTCCTGTTGGAAGGGCTTTTTCCTTGGGTAATGGGAGGGGAAACTCTGAGATAGATTTGGCTTTTTGACAGGTCAGCTTGGTTGCCATCAGGGGGCAGACAGGCACACGGGACTACCGGGGCTTTTCCCAGTTAGCCAATTGGTTAGTTGGCTGGTGGTTCAGCCCATGGAGAAGCTGTCTCACTCAGTCTTCTATACCTCTTTTCTGCTACATTCAAGCTCTTCGTAGATTAACTCACTGAGCGGCAGCGGAGTGGAACCTGTAAACACATGAACAAGAGCTACAGCACCAGCTGACAAAACTCGTCCCACAAAGCCTGGGCTACAAAAACAAACAGCCTCTGCCATGCTTATTGAAAACTCAACAGCCAAGAAAGGGGAAAAGCCTCCTCCCTCCCTACTAGAGGCACATAAATTAGATCTCCCTGTTTGTGTCTTACATCCAGCACAGATGCACAGTGATATGGTTCTTGCTCTGTGGTATAATGGCCTTAAGCAGTACATGATTTGGTGGCTGCTCCAAAACAATCACCACCACTATCGGTGTTTAAAAGCAATCGCAGACAATTGCTTTTTTATTGCTGAGAAAATCCAAGCCGGGGCACTTTTTCTTCCCAGTCCGTCGCCTGGTTGTCATGATCATAATTGGCAGGTTCTAGTAATTAGCAAATTTCTTGGTACATTCCTACCTCCAAATGATGTGGTGACATCTGAAACCTCTTCCTTCCAAGAACAACACGATTACTCCAAAATGTGCTCCAACAACACTTGCCAAATTTGGACGCTGTTAAATTTTTAGTCCAATTTAAAAAAAAAAAAAAAAGTTGTGCAATTTTGTCTAATCTTTCCAGTGGTTGGACTATTTACAAGGGAAAGATATGTTTTGGAAATTCCTAGGCTGGGATAAACTCCAGCAGAAAGAGAGGAAAAATCTAAATATTAAATAACATTTGGGAAATCGGACAAAAGAAGTTGAGCAGAAAAAGGGGCTCAAACTGTCTGTCATGGGAAAAAAAAGCCTGCTTTATAAGTGGGTGATATTAATGACTCAGTGAGACAAGTGTGAGAGAACAGAGGCTTACAGTGCCAGCGGGGCTAACACTTGGCTGATTTTCACATGGTTTCTCTCATTTCCAGCCCTGAAGTCTGTAGCCGCTGCAGACAAGTCACTCTGCATTGCTCAGCCGCCATTATGGTTGTTTCCTTCTGTTGCTCGTCGTTACTCATCCCTCACCCGGCTCTTGTTTCCCAAAAGATTAAGGTAGAAAGCCCAAAGGGGCTTAGAAAAGGCAAAGACAGTCGTACTATCAAAACTTTGCATACTAACTTATCCAAATATTTGTTAATGCTTACTTCTTTCTTGAAAAATATTTTTGGGTCTTTCTTTGAAAACTACTTAATTTTAAGAAGCCTTCAGGCCAAGACTTGACCTTCAATTTTTTTCTGTATCACTTATAACACAACTAACTACTCTAACAAATTTGTAGAGAACTCATAAGAAGAATTATGTCGGTTTTTATAAGAAGTATTTGTATTCCTTGGATCTTTTCAGTTTTTTTTTTTTTAAATATAAGGTAAAAGATGCATGGTTTTCAGAATGTTTTTCAAATTAGAATCTGAAAAGGTGCTATGTGTTTATTTTTCACCACTCTACTGAACATTCCTGTATAGAATCCAGTGCAGTCACTTTCCTTCAGAGGTCACCTGAGTAGTCCATCGGTGTGTACGCTCGGTGTAAGTCCAGCTGATCTGTGATGAAGCCTCGGAGGTTGCTGGAGAACATTAGCGGTTAGCATCACGATGGACACGGTGCAACATGGTGATGGCGGCACCATGCAGTAGAAATGCTTTTGTTCAACTGTTGCAGGGAAACTAGGGGGGAAAAAAATTATGGGAAGACGGGTGGAGCTAAATGCATTTAGAAATATGACTTAACACTTGACTGAAGGTTCACTTTCCAGTAAGGCTGCAGCTTCCATTGTTGTCATGGAAATGGCTATGGAAGCTGGTCACTGAGCTGGAATTTTTAATGCAGGTCAGTTAATCGACCTAAAGAAGTTGGTATGAGAAAAAAAAACGTAAACTCGAATGTGGTAAGGATTTTAAAAGAATGTTTAATTAAGTCGACAAGTGAATACCAAACATGGTAAATAATCAGTTGCAACCCTACACATTACAATGCCTTTCCCTTTAAACACCAGATGCCCTGTCCTCCACCAGGGCATATGGGTTACAGCTCTCTAAACTCTGAAGTAGCATTCATGCTAAAATAAACTCCAAAATATAGACCTACAGATCTTATTTGATTGGAAATATGCTAAGTTGCTTATACTTTTTTTTTTTTTTTTTTTTAAACCTCTGGCTATGCACCCCACTCAGTGAAACGTTGGGTGCAGAAGTTTGAAAAGGGGAATGTGCTGACGTTATAGGTTCATTCTATATTTGCCCTGTGCCACTTGCAGCTGTCTCTTGGCAGGCTAAATATAATGTGTGGCTGCTATGCCACATATTTCCTCTGGTCATATTGCACTGTACTTTTTTCTTTTTTTTTTGGTCTGATAACATGAACAGTGGTCACATCTCAAAAATGTTACACAGTTTCATTGACAAAACATGATTTAAAATGCTGGGGAATAAGACAACTTTTAACTGGAAGACTCACAAAGATTAGCCAGAAAACAGGAGACTGATGGATGCATTATATTAGCACCTGATTACCTGCCAAGACTGTTTCTGCAGAGAAATGTTTCAGTTTTTTATAAGATCCTAATCACCAGAAAAGTGCTTGTTAAAGCAAAAATACTGAGCAGGAGCTGGCTCACCAATTTCGAAGCCCTGTTTAGCTGCACACTGGAAATTTTTCACATCAGAAAACAAACTTGCATCACATATTTATTGAATTGAGAGGGGATCCGAAAGCACCTTTCAGAGCAGACCAGAACGGATTTGATTATTCCACAGTGTTCAATTCATCATCCAAAAATTAAAAGTGTGTCACAACTGCGGACTTACCCAGACGCCGCTGTTGACCTCCAAGACCTCTGACACATTAAATTTGTTTTTTGTTTTGTTTTGTTATCTGCAAGCCACAATCATCAAAATCCCAATAAACAAAAGGAAAAAAATGATCTACGTAATGAATCTGGCATCATTTAATTTTCTAAAGAGAGTAAAACAATATTAAACTTCCTCATAATGTACATTTTTAATATACACCTGTAGTTGTAGCTACAACAAACTTGGCTTCCAGAAGAAAGCTATTGTCGAAAGCCATAAGAAGGCCTGTTTTCAATTTGACACAATTCGTGCAAAAGGGCCCAGGCACAGACATGGAAAAGGGTGCCATGGTCAGTGGAGAACTGCTCCAAACAAGCGGAGAGGCTCGTCATTGTTTTGAAAGCGCTGATCCTGCACACGCTTGTACACAAACGTGCATAACCAAATCTGAACTGGATGTCGATTACTCTATAAGGAGCTGCTGTGCTGAAAGTCACAGTGGAGAAATATGATCCACAGCTGTTTAGATGTTCTCTTAACTGTTTATACATGTTAATTGAAGCTGGCTCCGTACCAAGGTCGCATAATGCTGCTGGTCGAGTTGTTACGAAATATAGCGAGGGTAAAGATGGATCACGCTCGCCTCAGATGTTCTGATCGTTCTCTAGATTGTGAAGTTACACAACACCCCACATCCACCTCTCCCAAAAAAATTTATTTGATACATGTTTTTTGTTGTTGTTGTTGTTTGTTTATGATGGGGAAAATACATTAGCCAGCATGTTAACCCAGAGGCCATGACATCTTTTCAAAACCATGAAAGCCCTTGCTTTAATACACATGGGAACTAGAGCAACTTACAGTACACACTTGACTAAACATTAATATTTCACGCTTCCCTTCGCCGAGTCTAAATGGATATTTTAGCGAGTTGGTTTACTTGATAATATGATGTGGTAATGTAGGTGGCTTTCCAGCTGAATGAGACTTTTATTTTTTTATATTTTTTTTGCTGTTCTGTTCTCTGCTTGCAGCATAAAAGACTGGGTGTTCCAGATCCAAAAAGACTTGATCACATTAACAGACAAAGCCAGCGGGTTGGAGGACCTAATAAAGGTAAGAGGCTTTATTTTTTGACGTTGCTATTCTTTAGCAAATAGAGGCATTAAATTGGTTGCATGGTGAATGATGAACACCATTACGTCTGCGGCTCAGGTTCTAACCCGACTCTGATCGTTTGCTAAATGTATTCTTTTCATTGCAATGTATCCTTAAACTTTTTCACTTTGTTTTGTTTACAACCCGAAACTCAAATGTATTTAATGTGGATTTTATCTGACGGAAAATCAGTGAATCATTTGTGACGCGGAAGCAAAATGGATACATACCTTACAATAACGCTGCAAATTAATGTCTGAAAAGTGGGCGAGTCAGAAGACTTGTAGTGATCCACAGCTTGGGTAGGAGGATTTGACAGGACACTTGTTGGACACACTTCAATCAAATGGCTCTTTATCCAGAGCCTTTTAACTAGCCGTTTGTTTGATGAAAGGTGTGTTGGGGAAGGAGGACATCTAAAAGTTTTGAGTGTAGAAGACTGGACTTGGGCCATACCCTTTTTTTTTTTTTAGATCAAAGCATGTTAATGTTTTGTCTTTCAAAGTCCAGACCTAGATCCCAGAAAGCATCTGTAGCAAATCTTTGAAAACTTAAGGTGCTCTCTGAGTTTGATCTGTTTTCCAAAGAGGAATACGATCTTCACATTCTAGGTGTACGGCAAGATGAGGGGAAATATAAAAAAAAAATGAAAAGGGTATGAAAACTTTTGCAAAGAACTAAGTGATGTCAGCATAGATTGCAAGAAATAAGATTTCTTCAGCTGAAGTTAATTATTGTGTGTGGTTTGTTACTTGGGTTTTATCCTCTCATTAACCCTCTTTTGCTTGACCCGATCTGTTGGAAAAGCATCAACAGACTATTTATAGTAACTCTTCCTTATATCTGGGGCGACATCATTTCCTTTCAGCTTGCACAATATACACACAGATGAGATCAAGAACAAAAGCTTTCAAGTGTTGGCTAAAATTGCATCCAAACTCCTTTAAGACAGAATTCACACAACTTCTTTTTTTTTTTTTTTTTTTTAATCCACGAAGATAGATGCCTCCGAGGATAAAATCAGTCAACTTTGAAGCGTCACAAAAATCAGCGGCAAACATGATTATGTTCGTGGAATGACTAAATTAACTGCATGCAAGGAGCATGAAGACGAATGCTCGCATATGCCTCAGCTCTGTGATTTGAATGCAGGACAGTAGAATGCCTTCCGGCTGCTAAATAATTGGATGTTTGGCATTTTTATGTCTTATTCTTTTCGCAGGGACATATTCTACATTCTTGTAAATAGTTTGCTTTGGCTTGACAGTACAATTTTATCAGCATTAAGGTAGCTTTTACTGGGCTTTGGCGATTGACATTAATCAAAGGGAAAAGCTTAATCAGAATTGTTCTTTTGAATTAAGTGAAGTTTAGGAAAAATGCATGACTCAAAATGTTAAAACTACTACCAAGGTCCTGGTTTTAACTCTCTCTGGAAGAAACTGGGTTGTTTTTATTTCTATTTTTATATGTCTTCACTTGACACAAAGTTATCTCTCACCCAGGCATTTCTCTCTCTTGTGATTGTCTTAGATATATCATAAACACAAAACCCACTTCAGCGTGGAATCTAACAACGCGAGAAAGCTGGTGGCAACGGCTGCAGGAAACATAGAGAAACTGCTAGCTAATCGCTCCGAAGCCCTAAAGGTAAGATTTCTTTTTTCTTTTTTTTTTCCAAACCTATAACAGTGAGAGAGCCAGGCTCTCTCAAGTCTTTGGATCTGTTGTTGGACGTTGTGCTTTCAATTGTTTGTGCTATCACGTATCTCTCTAAGCAGATTGAATCTGTTTTCTGTTTGTTACAAATGAGAACAGGCTCTGGAACTCTTCCACTGCTTCAAGCCGTTTGCCGATCCAACATAATCAGATATCGTGCAGATGGATCACTTTAAGTTGCCACTTAAAAATCTTTGCATTATGTAACCATTTGTGCTGCTTTGTCTTGTCGTTGTCACAGAGGGTTTGTTTCTAATTCCAGCAAATGTTTATTATTGTTGCATCTTTCCTTAGGCCCATCCAGGACCACATGGGTAGTTTTGGACAATATTTCACTGAATGCAACTCGAGTAAAAGGCCAAACTTTTTCCAACAGGAATAATAATTATTATTATTATTATTTTATGTTTCCTCAGCAGATGATTTTTGAGGTTGCATCAGATTTTGTGCTCATATAAATTCCACAAAGCACGTTATTCCATCTAATGACTTTTTTCTTCGTTTTTTTTTTTTTTTTTTAAATAAGTGAAGGGTATGTCTTAAACAGTTTACCTGAAGGTTAAACTTAAATATGCCATTGCAAATATGATTCATCTAATTAATGCTTCCACTAAAATTAACTTGCAGGCAGATTCATTGACAATCTTTCCCGAAGTGAACAAATGTATCATCAATTTATTCAAACTTTGCTACACAAAATATACCTGTCATCAAATCTTGGAGGCTGCTACCATTTTATCTGCTGCCCCCCAATAAGTTGAGGAAGTAATTTTTAAAGAGTTCATGCACTGAGCAGACTTGCCAGATACAAGGCAGCGTCATCATTGTGACTTTTGGTTCTGTGTATGTACACTTAGAAATGGCAGGAGGTGAAATTGATCTGCACAACCTTTCACTGCTCATGAGGTTAACCAGATCAGGCCGACTAAATTAGGGTCTTGGGACGTTCCCAGTCTCGATCAATCCGGCTCAGAGTGCCAGAAATATCCAATTAAAGTCCGACAGCCTGTTGCCATGGTCACAGTCCCATCGATTGCAACGTCAGTCCCGCCAAGCATCCCAATAACTGCCTAGGGATGAGGGACAATTAGTTGCTGGTGTCGTGTTGCACCTGGAGAGGGAAACGCGATCGCGCTGCGATCCCGGGCGGAAAAGCTGGGATGTTGAACTAGAGATTCGCTCATTACATTTTATCTGACTCATCAGCTGCACATTTTAGCTATTAAGAAAAGTGTGAAATAATGAAGGAGGAGATTGCTGATGGGCAGTTCATTGATTTAATTGTTGATTAGCATCAAAGGAAAAATAACAAGCACTGTCGTTTGTTTGTCAGTCGTAATGTTGATTTCTCTCCTTTTGAGTCTGGTCTCTCCCTTCCTTTTGTTTTAACAAGAAGGTGTTGTGGCTCAACATGAGCTTAATGCAGATTTTCTCTCTGAAAGGATTTCTATTTATCTAAGAAAGATGAGTGTAAATTTGTGGCCCGTGTGTCCTCTGTCTCTGCAGACAGTATACTAAAGATAAGAGGTCTACTGCAGACGATTTGCCATTGGGATGTTGGCGTGTTGATATAAAATTCACAGTTCCATGAGACTAGCAGCAGAAGCAATTAGTTGGTGAATTACCTGGTGTGCCTGGTGAAACTGCACATCTGCCGAGCTTATATGAAGCGCAGCGCTCCTAGGAACTGTCAAGTTTTTTAGCCAGATTAAAATGCTACAAAGGGCGTCACATTAAGATTTTTCACCCAGTCCTTTTTGAGGAATCAGACTATTTCACCCGTGTCTTTTGAACTTGATTGCAGTCCCTGAATCCTGACATTTGTGCCGAGACTGTTATAACTCCATGCAACACGTTTTGCCGTCTGTCTCAACTTCTTTAATCCTATTCTTATTAAAAAATAGTCTTATTTCACGTCACATGCTTTATTTTTTTTTCTTACCCAATGCATGTCTTTTCCTTTTAAACTTTCCCCTCAATCCCGTTCTGCTGGCTGTATTGCCTGTGACTTCGCGTTGCTTCTCCCATAGCTTCAGCCTGACTTTCTGTCACACTTAATTCCAATTTTCCTGTGTTTGTTTTCCCTCCCTTGTTTTTCCCCTCCATCCACTTCTGTCCTTTCTTGTTTCTTCTTTGGGGTGTGTGAACATGCATGTCAATGTTGTCTTTTTCCTCTTTCTCCATTTCAAACTGCTTTACATTTGAAACACTTTGAAGTAGGATACTTCTATGAAATAGAGTTATATCTTGGTGGTACAAATTCTTCTAAGTTTAATTTTTAATTGTGGCACTAAAACTGACAGTGAAGTAATTCATAAGCATATGTATCGGTAAGGACACATCATTCAGTCCCATTTGTTTAAAATCTCCCCTTGTTATTTAATAATTTAATAACCCTTAAACGCATACTATGCATACAATTAAATGATATACATATTCTTCAGAAGGAATAGTTGTATTTGGATATCTTAGTTTCTGACCCTCTTCCTTTTGTGCCATTACATAAATCTTTCACACCGCAGCGTAGGTGTGATTAATAGTGAATGAACTCGTACCACACAGTCTCGACCAACAGACACCTTTTTATTTTTATTTTTTATTACAATTACTCAGCCGTCTTTTTTTTAACCTGGCTCATCAAAAAATAGCCTCCTTCAGATATTCAGTTCACCTCCAGCTCCTCTGGCTCTCTGCTCATCAATTATTGAACGGCTCTTCTTAACCAACAGCCTTTGATGGAGCCGCTAACGTCTCCCTGTGGAATAGGTCATTCTTCCTCCCACAGTGACTCGGGTAGAAGTCTCTAAAAATGTTAGCAAATTAGGTTTGTTTGTTTGTTTGTTTTTCTTTTATCCAGTTGCTATATTTCTGGCTTAGAGACGTCCCAATACATGTTTATTTTTCTAGAAATGAAACTGTCCTATGGTCAGCCACCCACACTTAGGATTTTTCTTTTATAGTCTCCTTAAGGTATGCAGATGGCATATATAAGCCGATTTTTTTTTTTTTTTTCTGAATTGATGGTTGGACAAAAGGGGAAAAACAGAGCATTAACACACATGGCACATGAAGTATCTCTTTGTCTGAAAGCAACAACATGTACTTTGTTCCCACCTGTAGGTTCTTGCTCCTTGGGAGGAAAGTAGCACTTATTTCAAATTACATACATCTATTAAATGATCATCATCTCTTACCACCTTTTGAAATAGACTTAATGTCAGTGTGTCTATCTATGCATTGAATTATCCATGTGACTTTTGGTTCATCTACTCTTCTTTTTTTGTTTGTCATCTTCTTCCTCTTTACTGTCTTGTATTTTTGCCATTGATATATTCAAGGCCTAACTTCTGTTTGACAATCTGTGGAAAACTTGTACTTTTTACTTTAAAACTTCAAAAATAAGTGATAAGAACTAGAAAATTGATTCAGAGTCTCAAAAGGTGTCAAATGTTGATATAAAACTATCTAGGAACCGTGTGATTGGAAAACAAAAATGAGGCTAAAATGACAAAAAAACTCATTTCTTTACTTTGGAAAGTATAAGTAAAAAACTGCTTCTTCTCAACTACACCAGAGAAAAAAGACAGACTACTAAAGATGGCGTTGCACCACAGAGCAGACTGTGAAATTTGAGTATCGATTGCCCAGTTGTTTCAGGCCTTGGATTGCATTAGTAGTTTGGCAGCAGATTTAAAAGGCTTCGGCTGCCCACCAGAGACGGAACCACAATTGGTATCCCTTTATGGAAACAGAAAAAAAAAAAAAAAAAACAGTTGTTTTTCCGCCTCAACTTGCTGGAGTGACTCTCCATCAAGAGAAAAACCAAATTTGCTTAATTGAGAGTTGGGCTGCTGCCACCAAGATTGAGAGTGGGTTTAGTTTGACTTATAACTGCCAAGAAGAAAGATGGCCTGTGCTGCAGTGGGACTGTTGATGAATAAAATGTCTCTGGTCTCTGGGAGATTTTGGTCTGCGGAGTGCATGGACCACGGATGGCAGTAGGTAACCATGACACCCTGGTTGCTTAGCTACAAAGGGGATCATAAACAGATGCCCCTCTTCCAATGTGAATATTTTTGCTTAGCTACTTTCTCTGTTAGCAAATTTTGTTTTTAACGCTGGGCAAACTAAGTGAGAAAACTCTCATTCGAGGACCCTCATCAGTCTTTTTTCATGTATAAAACTCTGAATTGCTTGTTTAGGAGCTTCCGTGCTCATTAACTTGTCTGAAGATGACTAGAACAACAGCACAAGTAGTGGAATAGGGCTTTTTTTTATTTATTTATTTATTTTTTTTATTGCTGTGTTGTGTAGTGGTGTGTAATTATGGAGGAGACGCCGATCTCTAGTGTCTGCAAGTGCGTTATTAGGCTGCCACTTGATGACATGCTGTGAGTCATTAGCCTCTGCTGTTAATCTTAATAACCGAGTACGGACTCGTGGAATCACAGATCCATTTACAGAGCTGTAACAAAGTATTCTCTCCTTTGAGGGAAACCTTTTGTTGTTTGTTACAGTTTTTTGAAAACATGATTAAATGCAGAAAGGGAATCCCCCCCCCAATGGTGTCTTCATTTATTTTAAAAGCATGAACCTGTTGTTTTGTCCATTGTAATGAGCCACACCCAGGTCTAAGCGCCAGATCGGTTTGCTTAGACAGAAATTTATTTTTATTTTTTTTAATTCCAGGTAGATTCAATAGTTGTTAAATTGTTTGTGCATTTACTCTGGTGCTCTTTGTTTGATATTAAACATGTTGTATTAAATTGTTTGTTTGATTGGGATACACAAGGCACCCAGCATGTTCTCCAGGCTAAGAAAAGTTTGTGTCTTAGTTTTTCTAAGTACTTCTGATAGGAACAGAGTCGGCTGCATGACACACATGCAGGCCTGAAGCTGCAGCTGTAATTCACAACTTCACTGCACAAAGC